ACTTTGTAGTCTCTTTGGGTAATGAGGTTTTGTCGTACATACTATAATCTTGAAGTTAGAAAATAAACTGAAAGACCATTTTTTTTAAACACCCAATACATTTATCCTCATCTATTCTTGGTCTGGGGTGCAAATCAACAGGAGTTACAGTTGAGAATAAACCACATGTGACCCAAGAACATCACCGGGGAAGAACCTTCATTGTTGATGCTAAAGAATGGAGCTGTCCCTTTATCATTTTTAGGTTGTACCTATCCCATCTAATTGACAAGAAAAAAAATAACGATTGCTCACGTCACCACTTCATAAGGAGCCAACAACATAGGCAGAGAGCTAGCTGGACATTCACAGTAGTGGTTCTTACTAAATGTACCACCAAGGAAGAATACCTGCCACCAAAAATGCCTGTACCACCAAAGAAAAAGATCGTATTAAGACAATTCTGTTTTCTAACCGAGGGCCTAGACAAGACAATCTTTGAGGCTGTTTCTAGCATTGTCCATCATTTTTAAACACTTACAGAATATTTTCTTAGAATGAAAGAGGAATGATACCTAGAAGTAATAAAAAAAACATTATTTAAAAATGGAAAATGTTAGCTCTTTATGAAAAACACACAACCTAGAATATTATACACACATATACACGAATACATACACACTTCCTAGCTTATTCCTAGTCATAGTCATAAATAGGTACGAATATTTACCAACTATTTTTCAATATTATTTTTGTTCTGAACACATGAGTATGTTAGTATAAGAAACATGACCCAGTAAATGAAGGCTTCCAACCCTGAGTTTCCATGAAAACTCGAGTTTGAAGAAACTAGGTCACAGTGACCCTTCTTTGTTCAAACTGTAAAAAACCTGATGTCATCAAGGTAACAACCACAAAAGAGGAAGCCCAAATGTAAATGGTTCTCAAAAGGGAATATTCATGTGTTCTAGACTGGTGTGACAACTAAAAATGAGGGCGGCTTGCTTTCAAAGGACCTTGAAAAAGAGCATCCTTCCCCTCCCAACCTCTACCACCAAAATACTCCCTGACAACCTTGAAGTTCAAAGGGGATAAGTACAAAATTTTGGAGAACAAAAGCAAGTGAGAGAAATCTAAGACAAAAATAAAAGAAATTTTGGGAGTTGACCAAGGACCTAAATTTTTTATTGGCTGTCAGATTAACTCCACAGTCTACAACAAATGTGAATTGAGCACATTGGCCCTAAAGAAATAGTGTGAAAAAGACAAGACCTTTGTCCTCATGGAACTGACTACCATCTGGGGGAGAGAGGCAACAAATATAAATAGGTACCTAGGCTAATCACAGACAGCAAAGCCAATAATTCAGTACTGGGATATGGCCAGGGGCAAGGCAGGAGCCACTGCAATCAGAGTGGTCAGGAAAGGCCTCTTGCAGGAAGTGACAGCTGAGCTGAGAGCCAGAAGAAAAGGCACCAGCCAAGCAACTAGCTATGGGATGAAAGTTCCAAGTCAGATGGTGCCCCTGAGCCTACAGCATGGATGAGAATAGGAAGAGGGCAGAACTCTAATCAACCAAGCCCAGCTCTGCAAGAACACAGACCCATGGGGTCCCCTGCCTCCTCTAATGGAGCATGCCCTCCCACCAAAAAGCATGCAATGGCACGTTCCCTAAACTCAGGAAACTGAGGCAGAGGGGCTTGGGTGAAAAAATGGGGAAAAAATATCCATTAAGGGAGGGGTATGGTAGAGCTTCCCCTGGTATTACTAAATTATCCCCTCTGTGCCAAACAGGAAACTAGGTTCAGGAAAGTTCAGAGGCTTCCACACAGTTATGCTACTCTTAAAAGGATGGGCTAGGAATATCTGACAGGCATTTTTCCATTTTTTAACATAACACAAGCATTTGGCATGAGTTATAATGGTATACTATTAAGATTCATGTGAGCCAGGCATAGTGGTTAACACCTGTAAATCCAGAACTTTGGGAAGCTGAGGTGGGAAGAGCACTTGAGCCCAGGAGTTCGAGACCAGCCTGGATAATGTTGTTAGACTCCCATCTCTACGAAAAATTTAAAAATTAGCTGGATGTGGTGGCACATGCCTGTAGTCCCAGCTACTCAGGAAGCTAAGCTGGGAGGGTCCTTTGAGCCTGAGTTTGAGGCTGTAATGAAAAGTGATCGCACCACCACACTCCAACCTGGGCAACAGAGCAAGACCCTGTCTCAAAATAAATAAAAAATACATATGAACTGAGGATTTTTCATTTAGGATATTGACTAAGTCTCCAATTATCAATAGATAGAAAGTTTTTCCTTGTAGAATCTCTACAAATTATCTTCTTTATGAATTGATGCTAATTAACATTTCAAACCAATCTCTATATGACCTTCCAAATACATAACTCATAGAAGCCAAAATATAGAAGCTCAAATGTCCAACAATAGGGTAAAAACTGATGATGATACAGAAATAAGGCAGAAGCCTGCTTACGGTTTTAAATGAAAGCATGTAGACTCCTCATACATGGAAACCTGATAACTTAATTAATTTAATATTAAACAGAAAAAGCAGTGTATGACATAGAATGTATACACTGGTTACAACTTTGTGACAAAGTGCATAGACTTAACAAAGATGAGAAATAAATGGATAAGAATGTAATAAGAGAGGGCCATTTTCATTTAAGGCTGTTTAAGCTTACATAATAAATATATAAGGCACCTTTTAAGACAGAATGTCAAAGAAATAAATGCCTTAATAGGTATACTGTCTTGAATCTATCCAGAACACACTTATACTCTCTTCATCATTTGGAATTTTCAAAGTACAAATACCACTGAAGATTTTCTTCTTTTAATTCTATTTAAATATTGGAGACTTGTATTACTGAGCATTTTAATATTGACCCAATGGAACAAATGAGATTCCTGTTACCCAATATTAGTATAAACCCTAAATACCAATCAAAAATTTTCATAGAGACCACAAACCTAGAGAGTCGTTGTGAAACACATTTCAGCCACTTATAACACAGGCTATAAAACTCACCCCAAGTCTCATTTTCTCTCATCTTGCAGTTTAATATATTAAAATGCTATGTTGATCATTTATTCTTTCCAAAATGATAAAAGGAATTTCATGAAATACAATCATTGATGGAGTTGTAAAATGTTGCCTATGTCATCTTGTGGTCCTAAAAATGCTTCAGGTTACCTTTTCAAGACCATCAACACGGTATTGGGATCCATTAATTATTCTGACACACCAAGATTCCGCAATGTGCTTCCTCTCTTTGTACTTAAGAATTTAAGGAGTTTTGTATTGATTGCCCATTGCTTAGCAAACAATGATCTGTTTAAGATGAACTATTAAGCATATATACAAAATGGCTTCAGAAAATTTTTTAACTCCATTTCAAGACAGTTGAGACAAATAAAAGATATTATATAGAAAAAATTTTAAGTTACACCACAATTCAAATCGCATTTCCTAGACCCTCTATTTTATCCTTGAAAGTTGGAAACTCCATTAGCATTGTCTATTCTGATTCACTTTAAATGATAAGTTTAAACGTATCATTTAAAACTGTAAATGATAAGTTTACAGTCCCTGAATCAAAATGACATAGCAAAAAATAAAACAAAGGATGAACATTGGAAATGTTCTAAAAATGCCACTGAACTGTATACTTTAAAATGATTCATTTTGTTATATAAATTTTACCTCAATAACAAAAACGATAAAATCACCAGTATATGTCTATATTACCAAGAAAATATAGTATTTATGTGGTAAAGAGACAATATAGCAAATCTATGCAACAAAATTCTGAGGTTGTTCAACTCAAACATTGTAACAATAAAAAGCCACATATTCATGGTTTATATGAGAGATCTACTTCAAAAGAATATGGAGGAGGCTGAGAGCAATGGGTCACGCCTGTAATCTCAACACTCTGGGAGGTGGAGGCGGGCGGATCACTTGAGGTCAGGAGTTTGCGAACAGTCTGGCCAACCTGGTGAAACCCCATCTCTACAACAAATAGAAAAATTAACTAGGCATGGTAGTGCACACCTGT